CCCGTGTCCCCTGCATCGGCAGGCGGACTCTCAACCACTGTGCCACCTGGGAAGCCCGGCATGCACCTTTTTTTAAAAAAAAAGTAGTGAAATATATAATCTTTGTATTGAAAAGTACAAAACATAAATGTACGTTTAGCAAACAATAGTAAAGTGAACTCATATTAACAACCATCAGAGTAAAGGAATTCTGCCAGTACCCCAGAATCCTTCCCACCTCCTTTCTGAATTACTTCCTCTCTCCCCCTAAAGGAAACCACTATCCTATCTGTAAGTTTTTCATTTCTTTCCTTTCTTCATAGTTTACTATCTAGGAGTGTATAACTAAACATGATAACTTTAGTTTTGTATGTATTGAGTGTATTTTGTGTCTTGCCTCTTTTGAAATCAGCATTATGTTTGTGAGGCTTGTCTTTGTTATCACTAAAGCGGTATGTAGTTAATTGTTGCATAGAATTCCAATATATGGTTACATCACCAATTATTTACCATTGTACTGTTAATGGATATATCAGTTGTTTCCAGTGTTTGGCTTTTATACACAGTACTGGTGCATATATGTATGAGTTTCACTAAGACTTAACTCAGGAGTAGAATTGCTGGGTTATAGGGTAGTGTATCTTTAATTTTACTAGATGATGCCATACTATACCAGTTTACACTCCCACCAGCAGCGTATGATAATTTCCTTGCTCTGCATTCTCTCCAACATTTGATATTGTCAGAATTTTTAAGTTTTGACAATCTGATGTTATAGTTCTCCTTGTGCTTTTTTTTTTTTTTTTTTTTTTTGGCGGTACGCGGGCCTCTCACTATTGTGGCCTCTCCCATTGCGGAGCACTGGCTCCGGATGCACAGGCTCAGCGGCCATGGCTCATGGGCCCAGCTGCTCCGCGGCATGTGGGATCTTCAGGAACCGGGGCACGAACCCGTGTCCCCTGCATCGGCAGGTGGACTCTCAACCACTGCGCCACCTGGGAAGCCCTCCTTGTGCTTTTAATACATCTTTCTCTGACTGCTAATAAGTGATTCTTTTCATAGGTTTATTAGTATTTGAATTTCTTCTTTTGTGTTCAGGTTTCTTGTTCATGTTCCTCTTGGATGTCTTTTTCTTGTTTATTTGTAGTGTATTCTGGATTTTAACCATTTGCTGGTTATGGTTATTGCAAATACATTTTCATTCTGTGCCTGTCTTTTCATTTTCTTTATGGTGTCTTTTTATGAACAGGAAGTTCTTGACTTTAATATACTCCAACTTTGTTTTTTCTTTTTGTTAATGCTTTCTCTATTGTATTTGAGAAATTCTTTCCTGGAGTGTCCTTCCAGTTGTTGGATGGGATGCTGCCCGATGAATCACCTAATAAAGCTAATTAGATCTTTGGGAAAAAAAAAAAAGAAAAGAAGAGAAAGGCTTTCCTAACCTGAGATCATGGAGATAATCCCCTATTTTATCTTCTAAGAGCTTTATGATTTTGCCTTTAACATTTAGGTCTACAACACTAAATGTTAGAATAGATTTTTTGCAAATGGTATGATATAGGGGTCCAATTTCATTTTTTTCTCCGACGGATACACAATTGTCCCAAGACTCATCACTGGGGGAAACTATTCTTCCACTGCTCTGCAGTGCTGTCTGCA